TCATCGCTTTCTTAAAATCACATAAAGACATATTATAACAGCGACTAAAATAAAGAATAAAATGAAATATTAAAATCACGATTTATCTTGCTGCATTGCGCGAGTACGCTTCTAGTATATATATATATATAGGGGCCTAATCAAATGAGAATTGATTAGTTTGTGGTAACTGTAAGGTCCAATCTCAACCACAAATCAACAGTTAAATTAGGAAATTAATAATTATGGTAGTTTGAGTTAAAATTATAATTAGAGGGCATATTAGGTATTTTTTTAAAAACTCCTCTCTTCTCTCTCCTTTCTCAGCTCTCCGACCTCTAATCTCCGGCCTCTGGTGAAATCGGTATCACAATATATCACAGTGGGTATCACATTGTGTATATTTGTTTTTAAGATTTGAGTTGGTATCACAATGGTATCACAGCATATCACAATGGGTATCACATTGTGTATCTTTGTTTTTAAGGTTTGAGTTGGTATCACAATGGTATCACAGTATATCGCAACGGGTATCACATTGTGTATCTTTGTGATTATTTGGTACTCGCCGAATTAATGTTCACCAGAGGCCAGAGATTGGAGGTTGGAGAGATGAGAGAGAACAGAAGAGTTTTTTAAAAATACCTAAAATGCCCTCTAATTATAATTTTAACTCAAACTATCATAATTATTAATTTCTTAATTTATCTTTGATTTGTGGTTGAGATTGGATCTCACAGTTACCACAAACTAATCAGTTCTCCCTTCAATGGACCCCTATACACACACACACACACACACACACACACACACACACACACACATATATATATATATATATATATAATATGTGGTGTGGTGCAATTTAAACCGCAATTTGATGATTAAGAAACGCAAAACACACCGCAAAAAGCGGTTTCATGAAAATACCGCAAATTGAACCGTAAAAGTTCTAAACCGCATGTTGTGGTGAGCTGTTGAGGGTTTTAACAGTTAAAAGTATTTATAAAATTATACATATATCCATCAATTACACTCCACTATAAAATAAACACAGATATATTTTATGACATTTTTTCTTTCCTTTATTTCGCGCTTTTATAACATGAGAATTTTTTCCTTTCAATCTTACAAACAAATTTAAAAAAAAATAAATTTTCCTCTTTCATTTTCAATTTTTTTTCTTTTATTGTTCTTCCTTCAAAAAATTCACGATCACAACGTTAAATAACTCGAATTGATGACCATCAGAAAACAATACCTCAAATACGAATGTTAAAATACTACGAGCATTTAAATGTGAAAAATAAAGTATCTGAATGCATATATAATGCTTGTATGTTTTTGTAAATTATGAAATATTAATAAATTTAAGAATAAGGGGTTGTTTACTAAAAGCTTATCCGGTAGGTGCTTACCGGACAATTTTCCTCACCGGACGAACATGGCAAAGCCCAAAAATCTTACCTAGTAAGAGCGATAATAAGGATAGAGAATCGTACCTGATAAGTGAGGCTGACGACTCTTACCCGGGTAAGCGCTTACTAGATATATTGTTGCATACAATATCATTTTGATACACTACAATCTTACCCAAAAAATAAATTATAGTATTGGCTTCTAACAGTAAACACTTACCGGGTAAGCATTTAGGTAAACAACCCATAAATATTATTTTTGGTTCATAATATTTGTAATTTTCAATGGATGTCGTCCCAGAACTTAAAAAAAAACTCGAATTTGGTGAATCACGTTTGTTAACTCTCAACGGTTTTTCCTCTAAGCGGTCGTTAACTTTTCTCAAGTCAAGTTAAATTAACGATATTTTAGTCATTTTTATTATTTTTTTAATTTTATATTAAAATAAAAATAATAAAATATATTGTAAATTTTAATTCGTAAAACAAAAAAGAAAAGAAAAAGGATAATCGTCACCTTTCTTTTTCTTTATTTTTTTATGATTTAAAATTAAAAATATGATATTTTTTTTATTTTAATATGATAAAAATAGTGAAAATAATTAAAGTAATTCTCATCTAATTAAATGTAACGTAGAAAATTAATAATTATTAAACAGAGGGACCAAAACTGTTGAAAATGGACAAACATGATGAATCAAATCCGAGTTTTTTAAGGTTTAAGAATAATATGATATTCATTGAAAATTATGAACGTTAGGAACCAAAATGAATTTAAATATCTATTTTATTATCTTATTTAAGGAATCAAATTTAATAATTTATAGAGTAAATTATAAATTTGGTCCCTCTAGTTTATCAAAAATAATATTTTTAGTCCATGTAGTTTCAAAACTATAAGACTACCATCGTGGTTTGTACCTTCCTCTAACGGTTATTAAAAACTTTCGTTAAATAAGTGACATTTTTGTCGCTTTATCGATTTTTTGTCTTTTAACCAATCGATATCCATTTTATGATTTGGTCATGATAAATAAATCCGAGAAAAGGGCGAAAATCCCTCTCTTCTAACTTTTAAAGTAGAGGTTAAAATTCAAACGTTTTTGCAAATCATGAGGGTCATCTTGTAATTTTGAATCTATAAGGACAAAAATGTTATTTTTTTTACAAACCATAAAGACCAAGTTTGTAGTTTAATTTACACATGCTAATTGTTAATTTATATCATTCAAACCGTTTAATCATCTAATTGAAAACAGTGTCTCCCAAAAACATATTTTTATTGAAGGAGTGAGGGGCCATTTACTAAAAACTTATCCGATAAGTGTTTACCGGTAAAATTCAACACTATTACTTACTTACCGGGTAAGATATTACTCCACGAAAACAACACCGTATGCAGTAATCTACCCGATAAGCTCTTACCGTGATAAGAGACGTCGTATTCACTTACCGGGTAAGACTCTTGTTCCTTTTCTCGTTCTTATCGAGTAAGATTTATAGTCCTTATTATATTCATCCGGTAAAGTAATCTGACTTGGTAAACGCTTATCCGGGTAAACGTTTGGTAAACGGCCCCTGAATTACATTGATGGTTCGTATGGTTTGCTCCAAATTTGGATATGTTTTTTAGACGAACTATTTACACCGGAGATTCCTAATTTTTCATTTTTATAACGTCCATGGTCATTCAACTAAACATCATTAGTTTTTAGCAAATATAATTTATTTATCAGTTAGTTTATTGGTTAATAGCTACTTAGGGGCTGTTCACCAAATTTTTTTATTAAGTCATGTATGGATAAATTTGTCTGTCTGGATATATGGGTGTTGTTGTTTACTTTTTCTTTATCTGAACCAACAGTCTGAATAACATAAATGACCGATTTACCCCCAATATTAACTATTTGAACATGAAAACAAAAAATCATAAAGAGGCCAACGATGGGTGTCTCATTTGGGAAGGAGACGGTGCTTTAAATATGGGGTAGGGATGTCATTTTTGTAGCTAAATGGGGACAACACACCATTTATATATGTGCGATTAAGCCATGTTATGTGCGTATAAGCCGTAAATAAACAACTCAAATGAGTTGTACGAATAAGCCAGATAGACCAATAAATATAATTAACCTGCAAGTAAACAACCCTAAAATGTTGGAAATAAATTATCTGAATGCATATAAAATGGCTATATGTAGGGATGGTGATTTGCCCCAACCCGGTGGGAAACCCGGTTCATCCAATCCGGATGGGGATTCCCCGCTAAAACGGGTCCCAGGGCCGGGGATCCCTGGTAGACTCAAACCGAGATGGGGCCTGGGACGGGGGATGTCACTCAAACCGGGGCCGGGGATCCTCAGTAGAATCAAACTAACAAATATTATTCATGGGATTTGACCGGGGATTGAC